GTGTACCTTGTACAGTTACAGGTCAGTGATTTACTTGATAGAAATTTCAGTTATTATATTTTATACCTCACTCAAACTCTATACTAGGCCTGAGCTGGCTTGCTATAAACCATGGCTTTTCATACATCTTTGGTTAAGATGTGATGTATTAATATGTATAATTGACTATCATATCAATGACGCTCCGCCAGTGACCTTAAAAAAGCACTGCCTTTACCTTGCCTTCTTCAAAGGGTGGACCGAAACAAGCAATAATTTTTTTAAAAATTCGGAAAGACAAATTCTACTGGCTTTTCAAGAACTTTGAAACTGCAGGCACTACCGATTCCAAGCGAAGCTCCTCTTGACAGTTCTGCTATCGATCTTGTATTTGCCAACACCACTGTTGTCGATACCCTTACTGAGTCGGAATCTTCAAGAGTGAAAAGACAAGGTGGTGGCGGTTGTGGATGTGGATGCGGGTGTGGATGCTGCTGTTGTAGGCCGAGGTAACCATCAATAACTATTTCGTTTTAATTTATATTCAATATTCCAAAAAGCTGCAAATTCTAAATTAGGTGCTGCTGTACATGCTGTAGAACTTGCTGCTGCACTCGATGCTGTACATGCTGTCGACCATGCTGCTGCTGTGGTGGAGGCGGTGGAGGTATACTATAGGCAACATTCCTTAAAGCGCTATCTCTATGATAACCCAATTAAGGTGGCGGTTGCTGTGGATGCGGTGGTGGCTGCGGTGGTGGCTGTGGCGGTGGATGCTGTGGATGCTGCGGTTGCGGAGGTGGTGGCCGTAAGAGACGTTCACTCCAAAACTTGAAGATCAAGCTGGCTGATAAGATCGAGAGAGAAGCGAGGTGAATAAGACGCTTTTAAGATTTCCAAGAAAATAAAATTGAAACCCTCGTTAACTTTCAGAACCACCCTTCCCAGTTTACCAATCGCTTCTGAGCAGACCGAAGAGACCGAGCATCTCGAGCAATCCCAGCAGCCTATTCAACCCGTCCAGTCTGCTTTGAAAGACAAAGATCTCACTGAGTTCCCATTCTCTAAGCCTGACGA